AGTCGCTCCAGAGAAACACTCCTGACAAACCCAGCCAGAGTCGAGTGCCTTTGGAGAAACAGGAGGAAAATGCCACTGAGGACTGTGATTATGTGCAGTTACAGGTCAGTAAAACTGGGCTTTACTTTCTATGTTCTTCATTGTTTGCAGATATTAAGCTATTGCCACCATTTTACCTTTGCATCAATGCCAGATTCAGTTTGAACGATTTCCCATTTTCCAGACTGAACTCAGGATTTTTTTCCAGTGCTGGGTGGCACATGTGGAATGAGAATCATTTTAATCCATAAAGAGAACTGGAGTTTGAGAATTTATCCAGCCAGCACCAACAAAACATCTTTATAATCTGTTTAAATTCATTTGGGAGACAGGTTTTAGCTGGGGGGTTGCAAATCCTGTCTTCTCTTTTGCCTTTTAGTTCTCTTCTTGCCAGTTCATTGTGTTTGGCTCTGACATGACTGGACAAGAAATGTTACTTTCTAACTTGAGGTGCATGTTTTCATAGAAAATTTTGCTGTAACAAATCAAACTCTTACTGTGAATTATCAAATTTATTTGTTAGAATCATTCTGGATGTTTGTTAGAACCATGCTCCTTAGAACTACTGAAATATCTACCAAGAACATCTCTCTTGGTTTCACAAAGAAAAGCTGGCGTGTCCTTAGGATTTAGGAAAGGTTATTTTGTTCATGTTGCTTTCAGTCTTAGATCTTGCAGGAGGAGACACTATATTTTTAGTAGGAAAAAACCTACAATTTTTTCTAATAAATGTACCATTGTTGTCCATAACATGAAGGCTGCAGAGCAAGTAGTTGTTTCCTCACGAAATAAGACAAAAACATATTTATATTTAAATCTTTTTGTAAGTCATTTCAACTTTGCTTTCATTTTAATTTATAACAGGCACAGAAAATCATTTCAGGTAAAGAAGTAGCAAAGAAGAGCACAGATTCAAAACTGAAGGTATTTCTGATTTTGAAAACTATTATTTATGAGGACTTCTAGTCCCTGATTTCTGTGCTTGCCAAAATTCAAAGCATTCAGACACACATCTCTATCCATAATCTATTTGCTTTTCATTGTTCATTTCCCAGAACTCAATCTTAGAATTACTGCTGAAAATTGTGAAAAACATTTATTTTCCTCAAACATAATGAACCCCTCCAGTTCAACATCATACTATTTATTTTCTTGCCTTTGTGCATCATTTGGGATAAGGCTGTGAGGACTAGTATTTCAAAATATCTTGTCATGCACTGGTACAAAATTGACTCTTGTTTTGTCCATTTTAATCATTCATAACCCTGATTAAGCCCATTAAAGATCAATGTTTTGTACTATCTGAAAGCTTCAAGTCCAGAATGTGTAAAGGGTTGGTGTTTGGCTGCAGCACTTTGTGTGCTATCCATTATTAAAATCGTATTTAGGGGCAAAAAGGCAATTGGGAGAATTTCCAATACTTTATGGGAAGAGAAATTATTGTAAAAGCTCCTGGGCTGGGGCAATTTGGAGAGTATGAACTAAGAATTTAGGCTGGAGCAACTAAAGAAACAATCAGTGTGTGACACCGAGGTGAATGTTTTTTTAAACCTTTCTCCAGGCTTTGCCAACTGCAAAAAAGGCTGGAACTCAAAGCAAGCAGGACTGTGCCAAGAAAATCCCTCTCCCTGAGCACTGCAGGCTGTGTTTCGCTGCCCTGCACAAGGCCATCGGGGTGTTCACCAACAGCCTGAGCAACAACCAGCCCCCCGAAGTGTTCATATCCCACAGCAAACTGATCATCATGGTGGGACAGAAGCTGGTGGATTCTCTGTGCCAGGAGACTCAGGAAAGGGATGCCCGGAGCGACGTCCTCCACAGCAGCAGCCGGTTCTGCAGCCTCTTGAAGAACCTGGCTCTGGCCACCAAAAACGCTGCCATAAAATATCCCAACACCGACGCCACGAGGGAACTTCGGGATCGGACCGAGGAGCTGTCCAAGTACACGCAGCAGTTCAGAGCAATGATGGAATGAGACACGGAATGTCACTGTTTTCACACATTCTCCACTGCTGTTGCCCCTTTGGCAGCCAAAGGGGAGCAAAACCAGCTCAGTGACACCAATTTTCAGTCACCTCAAAGTTCCTGCCGGGAGTTCCCGGGGTGCTGATGCAATTTTAGCAGGTGAAAATCCAGCAGATGTAGGAGAAGATTTGTAGAATTAAATCTATTCTTTCTTCTCCACTGTTCATATCCTGCCTGGAAATATCATCGTCGGAGTGGCTGGGCAGGAATGTTTGCTGTGTATTAGAGCAAAATGGTTTTATTATCTGACTTATTTCTTATTTTTTATTCTCTCTATAGGTCAGATAACTGTCTTTTCCTTTTGTTTTTTTTCTATTCAGGCATGTAAAGTCTATCTCCAGATTTAGCTGCACAATGTTCTGTAGCTTATGATCAATTGTTTCCTGAGGACTTTACTCAGAATTTGTAGTTACAGTATTTTTTCCCAAGCAGCCGCAAAGCTAATTTTTGGGTTTAACATACAAATGCCACAAATGTATTATGGTACAAAATCTGGTACTATACATAGCCTAGATATTAATGGGGAATGCTCCAGGCTGGCACCTGAGCACAGAGGAAAACTGACTTGGAGGAGTGATAAATGTACAGGGAGCACCTCAGTCGTCCTCTGTCGCAGCCTGAAGCTGTTCAGAGCATTTCTCCAACTGAGACAGAATTTATTTTAGTCACTAAACGTGCAGAGGGTTCCAAAGCTCTTCCCACAGACTGCAAAGGTGATGTTATTCCTTACTGGAATACCAGCAAGATACACCTGGCGCTGGCACAGTTGCCCAGGGGTTCAGCTGCCTTGGTCCGTGCAGCTTTTTAACTTTATCCCAAATTTTCTGGGTGTGAAATCCAACGACAAAGACGCCGCGATTGCGCAGGCAGAGCGTGGGTACACCCGTGTGACTTGTAGCTTCCCTGATTAATTTATTTTAATGTTTGTATCTGTAATTTCAATGTCTGGCCTTTCTTGGCCTTTCTTGGCGATGTTTTATCGGTGTCTTTTACTGGTGGGACAATGAATTTTGGGGGCAGTCGGAGCTGACCCGCACAGCGTCTGTTGGGAACCAGCTTCCCCCTCAGCATCCTCGAGCTTCCCTCGGCACCCGCCGCGTTTTACACCGGTATTTAAAGCCGACACGTGTAAATATTCCTGTTTGCAAAGTTAAACGCAGTGTTTCCCTCCCCCGCTGGCTTTGTGCGTGTTGGATTAAACTCGCCCCTCACACCACCCGTGTCCGTGCCCTGACATCGCCCCGGGGCTGAGGGCGGGACGGCGGCCCCTCATCCTGCAGCCAGCCCGGCCCGGCGCGGGAGAGCCTCGTTTGGC